CCTTCCCCAGGCCTTACAGGCTTGGGACAGTGTGCAGAGGAGGCCTGTGCCCTCCTTTACCTCACTCTGGTGCAGGGAGGGCAGTGAAGCATAGCCTGGTGCGATGCCCGGTTACCCCAACATTTCCAGAGCACTACTGGGGCCTGGTAAAGTAAGTCCCAGCCTTCTGGGCAAGTTGGAACTGACTTCCTGGATGAAGCCTGTTTGTCTCCCGTGGGTCCTGACTCTGGAACTGCATGGTACAGAAGCAACCTGGGAACAGAGCTGGAAGAAAGCTGAGAACTGGGCCAGGGCTCATGCCCAGCTCAGCCAATCCAGAAGGCGAAGGATGAGGCAACCAGTTAGAGCAAAAGCCTAAGCTAACACTCTCTAATCCCCGCGTCCTCCCTCTTGCCTTCTCCCCCAGCACCCACCTGTCCATCTGCCGAGGCCCTGGGCCAGCCTCCCCCCTCCAACATGTCTTAGATTTCTGTGGGAGCCCTAACCTTCCTTTCCTGTGTTCCTGTGTTCCTGCATGTACCCTTCTTAGACTGAGTACATGATTAGATAAAGGGTTCGGAGTGCCTCGGCCAATCGCAGCCCCCTCATGCAAGCCTCAGTCTTGCTGTGCCTCTGCCAGTGAGATCTGGGCCGGCCACCCCCTCCCTCCCTCCCTCCATGCTGGGTCTCAGTCTCCCCCCTGGGGTGCACTAAGGAATGTAAGAATTAGTCTCTACTGGTTCACCCAGTTCTAATGCCCCAGAGGAAGGATTTGTAAGCTGAATTCTGTGGTTTGGCTTCTGGTAGCCATGAACTTCTCCCCCTGTCCCCCTGTGGGTAATGCTGAGACTCAGACCCAGGGCCTCATACATGCTTGGGCAAGTCTCTTTATTTTCTTTTTGTTTTTTTGGCAGAACTGGAGATTGAGTGTCTATTTTCTGTTTTTTTAAAAAGTGTGTGTGCGTGTGTGTGTGTGTGTGTGTGTGTGTGTGTGTGTCTGTCTGTCTGTCTGTCTGTCTGTCTGTCTGTGTGGCTGTGTGCATAAGAATTTTCCTCAGATTTCCAGAGGACTCACAAAGCCCAGGAAGGCTGCACAGCCTTTCCTTCATGCCTCTCAGCAAAGGAGGCAGGCAGAGCAGCCAAGCGGCAGGCGAAGTTCTCAGGCCTTTTCTTTCCCCCAGCACAAGATAGTTCTGGCTTCAGCCTCTCCACTTCACAGATGAAGAAACTGAGGCCGACAGGCCAACAGACCCACACCCAGCTCTTTGGTCTCCAAGGCTGGAGCTCTGGACACACCACCTGGCAGAGGCCCTTTTGTTGGCAGGTTGGGGGCCAGGATGGGCCGGGCTGCCTCTGCAGCATCCTTGGTGCACAAACTCGCTGCTGTTCCTGCCCATTGGGACCCCGCTGCTTGCACCATGAAGCCCACAGGGACTGGAAGAGGTTCTCCAGGTTAAATTTCAGGATTTCATTTTCTGCCATGGTGCCTGAGTCCAAGGCATAGCAGGTGGCCAGGTAATCTTTGGGGGTTAAACTCTTTCTCGTAGTCCTCTCCTCCTGCGTACAGTCTACCGTCCACCCAGGCACATCATCTGCCTGCTCCCCTGCACAGTTGAGCCTGCACCTTCCTCCCAGCCTCTTTCCAGTGGGAGGTGGTTTTTTTTTTTTTTTTTTCTTTCCATTTATGTATTTGTTACAGGGTCTCACTATGCAGCTTGGACTTGTAGTGATCCTCCTGTTTTCAGGCTCTGCAGCACTGGGATTACAGGCATGTTCCGTCACACCCAGACTCTGTTGCTGGCTCTGCGCACCCTGGGGGCGGGGCCAGCACTGCATGTGGGACTGGGAATTGAACCCTGGTCCTTGAGCTTGTGAGAGCAGGCATTTAGTCTGCTGACATCTCTTACCAGACACCTAGTGCAAGTTTTATAAGCTTCTTGGCCCGCTTCTCTCTCCAGAGGGCCTCAGATCCTCACACAGGAAGCCAGAGCTTCAGGGCTGAATATTCTGGCTGGAGTTTATCTACTTAATAAATTCTCGAGGAACATGGGAATGCAGCAGAGTCACCAGGGCCTGGCCTTTGGTGTTCCTGGTTCCAGGGAGGCGGAATTTTGCATGCAGCTGCTGCTCGGGGTGGAGAGGGGAGAGAGGTGGACAGACAGACATACAGGGAGACAGAGGAGCAAGGCGGTAGAGGCAGAGAGAGTTCACAGATGCTTTGCGTCCCTCTTGGAGTTTGGTCAGGACAGTAAGAATCAGAGCAGAAAGGCCCCTTCGGGTAGGGAAATGGGATCCAGTGATGACTGAGATTTTGCTGACCAGGGTCAGTGAGCTTGTGCTTAAAAACAGATCGTCCACCACTGAGTTTAATCTTGTTCACTTTATCTCCTTGCTTAATCTTTTTTTTTTCTCTTTGTTTTTGCAAAGAAAATTTTTGTAGATAACGTATTTTTAACTTCATTTTTTATTTGTACATATTTGCCACACATGTTCCTCAGATTCATCCTAGGGATTTTGTACCTGTACGTAATACATCTTGATTCGTTTTTTGCCCCGTTCCCCTCTACTCCCTCAACCCTTCTTCCCCAGCCCCATTTCCAGAAGCTTCATTTCCATTTCTCCTTATGTTTTCCCATCTCTCTCCCTTCACCCCTCTCCCTCTCCCTGCTCCCCTTTCCTCCTGCACATATTCTTTCTCCTTCCTCCTTCTGTCCTCCATTATTGTCCCTGTTTCCCCTTTGGGTTTCTCATGCAAGAGAAACAACTCAATTTTTAAACATGTGCATGTGTCAGCCTTTTCTTTTTGTGCAGTGCAGGAGTACAGGGAGGCAGGGCCCCTGGGGATAGTGGGAAGCCTCACATTTGGACAAACTATTTTAAAAATGTGACTTTACATGTATACGACAAGGACATGTCAGGACACTGCACTGAAGTTCACACACACACACACACACACATACACACACACACACACACACACACACACACCTACATGTACAACTGGGGTAAAGTGAAATAAGGTGAGTAGCCAGAACCAGTATTAATGTTTTAATCTTACACTACTGCTTTAGAGGATGTCATCACTGAAGAAGGCTGGATAACCTTTCTCACAACTTACAAGATACCTTTGAGCTTCCTAAAAGACTTTGTGGTGTCATCGAAAACTAAAGACTGTTTAAATTTAAAAAGTTGATTACAGGGCTGGTGAGATAGCTCGGCAGTCTAAGAGCCTGCCTGGTGAGAGAAAGAACCCGGCTTCAATCTCCAGCACTGTATGCCATGCCAGCTCTGGAACCCCAGGCACTGTGCCAGCCATGAAACTGGGCATGGTGGCGCACGCCTGTAATCCTAGCGCTGGGGAAACTGAGACAGGAGGATCACTGCAAGTCTGAGCTGTGCAGTGAGACACTGTACCAAATAAATAAATAAGATTTTTAAAAATTTAAAAAGTTTATTACAATAAAAGACACGGTGCCGATGATTGTCCTCAAGATAGTCCCCTTTGCCTTGAGCACACTTCTCCCGTGGTTTTGCCACTTCCTGGAGCAGTTCTGGAGCGCCTTTCTTCATGCCTTCAGCTGTACTGTCACAGTGCCTTGATGTCCTGAATTAATTTAAATGTTCACCTTTCATGATCATTTCAACTTTGGGGAAAAGCCGCTCTGTGCAGAGTTAGAGCAGTGAACAGAGCAGATGAGGACCACCACGGCGTCTGATGAGCCTGCCTTTCTCTTGGGCGGTGCTTGGCAGCCGTGTTCAGTGCATGTTTTTTCTCTTTTTGAATCACATCTCATGAAAGCACTCAGGAAAGAAGGTTTCCAGAGCTGCTTCCGAAGGTGTCAAGAACAATGGAATAACTGTATTCCGAGTGAGAGGCAGTCTTTTGAGAAGGATCAGTGGCAATGTGTCTTGTACTGTGATACATTTTTGAAATTTAAGCAATCATATGTGTTTAATAAAAATTTTTTCTTTTATTTATTTGTTAGAGGGTCTCACTATGTAGCTCTGATTCATAGTGATGCTCCTGTCTCAGCCTCCCCAGCGCTGGGATTACAGGTGTGTTCCACCATACTTGGTTTCAGTGGCCCAAATGGTGTACCCAGAGTGGGGGTCAGCACGGTATGCAGTACGGGGAATCGAACTCAGGTCCTTGTGCTTGCCAGGCAGGCACTTATGCTGCCGAGCTATCTCCCAGCTCTGGCCACGTGTTTTCTTTTCTTTTCTTTTTTTATTTATTTATTTTGTGTGTGTGTGGCCAGCTCAGCCCACCAGGGGGCGGGGCTGGCTGGCATGTGGTGCTGGGGATTGAACCGCGGTCCCCGTGCTTTGCTTGACTTAGCTTGTTCTAAGTAGGTGCTTTAGACCACTGAGCCATCTCACCAGCCCTGGCCATGTGTTTTCATTACACCTCTTACAACTGCATGGGAGTCCACAGTAGCCTCCAAATAAAATTTCTCTCCACAATGTGTGGCCAAGTTCTCCTTTCAAAGGTCATCTTAAAGTAAAGAGATTTCAGGCAGCAAATTAGTATGTTTTGCAAGGGCAGCTCTGGGCCCGAGCTGGTGAAAAGCTCCCCTTACAGGTGAGAGGAGTGTGAAGGAGGACATCTGGGATAGACTCCCTGGCATTTATGGAGGACTCCTGTGCATGGGGGCTTCCTGCCATCTGCACAACAATTTGCAAAGCATGATGCTGACAAGGTGCAATGTGCCTTGTCAGGAAGCCCTGGAAACAACAGTGGGAGCCAGAGTCAAGCAAAACCTGTGTCCAAAGCTGGAATGGAGATGGGCCCAAGCCTCACCTGCTGCCTGTCTAAGCCCACTGACCTCCCACCTGGCTCTCTTTGTGCTCCAGTGGTGCTGCTCAGAGAGCATCCTGGGGTTCTGCCCCAAGGACACCAAAGGGCCACCTTAAGCAGGAGGACCCCTGCTTCCCAACACCCAGAACCAAAGACAGCCTCTAGGTTCAGGACTTCAGGCTTAAGGGAAAGCATTGTCACAGAATACACACTGTAATCCACCTTTCATCATAATTCTCCTATTTTTATTGCATTGAATATATAATTCCTCCATTTCTGAAAGTCATACAGCTTGGGCCAGGGGTATTTCTTCCATGAAGAAAATGTCAATTCTATGCTGAATGGTGGCAAGACAACTGCCTCTCTGGCTGACCTCTGCTCAAATTATTGAAAGCGAATTTCATGTTGGAATCCAGGAGATCTCAGTTGTCGTGGATGAAAACGGCTGTTGGCACTGAGTGTGTGATATCCATCCCAGAGTGTCTTCCATCGCTAGCCACTGCTGGACACTGTACCTGGGAATCCTTCATGCACGTAGTGTCTCCCAGTACATGCGCACGTCTGCCTGCCGAGTCCATGTCACCCCTCCACGGCACACACAGGCTCTACGCATGGCAACTCCAGGCAGCTGTTGGAGTAAGGTTGACTTAACTTCTCCCTTCATGTTGTGGTAAACGTCTCACAGGTTTCCAGTACCACAAATAATGTAATCAATATTGTGGTGCATGAGCTTTTTGCTGTGTTTTGTAGTTTGGCTTTAGTTAGGCTGAACACCCACACTGCACATGGGATCATTGGACTAAAGCTTGAAAACTTTTCCTGGAACTAATTTGGGCAAGTCATTTGGGAAAAATAGTTACTAAGTTATTTTTCCAAGGAAAACAAATTTTGCCATTTAATTTTTTAGGACAAATATTTGCTTATTTTTCTAATGAAGTACAATATACTACTATAATAAATAGCTAATTTAGATAGAAATTAACAGGCAGCCAGAGAGAGTCTAGGTCTTCGAAGGAGTCTGTACAAAAGATACATGGGAGCTGTGGCTGGAGAGAAACTAGGAGACAGCCAGGCCTGCAGGGCTCCCTGGAGATAGACAGCAGCTGCAGATGGTGCCGTGATCAGCACCACCTGGTCCAGGTGGCATCTGATCACAGGTAGGGGACCAGAACAGCCTGACCCAGCTTCTTCCCCTTCCCTGAAAAGGCTTGATCTTTCTACATTAGAAGTTATAGGTAATCGGGGGCTGGGGAGATGGCTCAGTGGAATATGCGCTTCCCTGGCAAGCGCAAGGGGCTGAGTTCAATCCCCGGTTTGGAAAAAAAAAAAAGAAGTTATAGGTAATCTGAAGTAAGCGATGCCCACCACGTACCCTTGTGACACATGTCACTTCCCTATAGGATCAATGTTAGCTGAGCTTCTATACCTGCAACCGCTTAGGTTGGCCTTAGCTTGGCTGAGTGTCTTGAAGGATGGTCATTTCTGTGTATAAAAAAGCACCTAGAAAAAGAGCCTCAAACAGCTACTCACTTTTGAGGCTCCTCTTGTTTTCTGGAGCTTTCTCTCAAAAACCTTTTCCTACTCTTAACCTTCTTTCTCCCGTATTCATTCCTCAGTTATCCAGAGACACTCAGCTCATCTGACACCTAGCAGCTTATAAGTCACTTCTCTGTGACACTATCATAGGGTCTGATAAATTTGTTGTTTTCTCTTTGCATATTTTTCTAAGTTTAGAATGTTCTCTGATCCCAGGGACTTGGAAACTCTGCAGTGCTGACTGCATCTGTGTTGACTTGTAAAAGACATGCTGCTCTGTGTTGGATTTTGGTATGGGATGAGGCTGGCAATTCACCAGAGTTCATATTTTTGCCCTGTGTTGTTTATATTTCCAGCTTCCCTCTTCTGGGCTGGTTTCTTCATCCCACAAAGTCAACAGGAAGACAGATAGCAGAGGTCACATGGAGTATGGTGTACTGAGATGGTTGTTTTCTTAGCATGGGATAGTGACTTTTTTCATATCATATTTTTTTTCATAGTTGCCTTTTAAATTGCTTCATTTTGTTGACTTACTGAAAATCATAGCAGAAAGATGCCTCATGTGATGCACCACTCTTCAAATGGACTGAAGCAGCCCTGGTGTGAACAGAGTGCTGCCAACTTGACGAAGGCAGACAGTAGCACGGGCTTCTCAAGTTCTAGCAATTCTGCCACCCCAGGGAGGCATGGCCATGCCTGCAGATGTTTTGAGTGGCCCAAAGTGTGAACCGCGATGCCACAGTTGCCAAAAAATTCTGCAATGAAGACCTGAAGATTCCTGTCCCAACAAAGAATGACCTGGTGCAAAGCATCAATGTCCTGAAGTGTTTTTCTCCCTTAGAAACTATTCTTAAGAGAGTCACTTTGGACAAGTGTTCCTAGCACTGTGGGGGTCTCTGGCTAGGTTGGATTGAAGCATGCACTGGGATGGAGAGGGAAGGTGAGGGTGGGTGAAGAAGGCAGGGAGCAGCCGGAGGGTGGAGCCCAGGGGAGGAACTTGGGTTCATTCCTCTGGGCAGCAGGAGGTGCTGCAGGCCTTGAGCTGGGGAGGGTGTCCTAAGTCCTCCCAAGGACATGCAGCCCATCATCCTGGGCAGATGCTCTCCCCTACCCTTGCACAGACCCCCTAGACACCCCATCCATTCGTGGGCCCTGGAGCACTCCCTGGGTGGTACAGTTGTGTGCACTCCATTGCATACGCAAATGGGTGCTTCACTGTGCCCCTGAGCATCCAGAACTGGGTATTCATTCTTTAGCTCCTTTGCTGTCGGTTGCTGCAGGAGACCCTTCCTGGGCAGCTCTGTATCAGTCCTCAGAGGACTGTGGTTCTCCTGGCCTAGCCTGGAGTTACTGTGAAGGTTCATTTTATGTGTCAGACTGACTGGGCCACAGTGTCCAGACCACTGTGTGGTCATTCATTGTTTGAGATGCTTCTGTGAGGGTGCTTCTGAAGAGATTCCTTTTGAATGAATGGATTTTGAGGCAGACGCCTTCCCTGAAGCTGCATCGAATCAAGTGAAGGCCTGAGGAGAAGTGAATGAGCTTCCCCATCAGGCTGGATTTCTGCGCAGATGGCCTTTGTCCTGCGCCTTCCTGCTGGCCCTGCTCTGGGCCTCCAGCCTGACAGCCCATCCTGCAGGGCTGGTCTTGCAACCTCCATAATCACATAAGCTGATTCCTTAAAATAAACCTCTTTTCATGCTTAATTCCTATGTATATTTTTTCCTCTGTAAAACTGACTAATATAGGTATCATGTAACTTCCTTCAGCCTATACCTGAATCTCTGTTATACTGTTCCTTTATTGAACATTCCCTATGCTGGGCAGCATGTGTACCTGTAATCCTAGTACTCAGGAGGCCTGAGGCAGGAGGATGATGTGTTTGTGCTACATAGGAGGATACTGCCACAAAGAAAAGAAAGTAGGAGAGGCAGAGAGAAGGAGGGAGGAGGAGGAGGGAGAGAGAGAGCATAAGAAAGAGAGAGAGAAAGAGAGAGAGAGGAAGGAGGAGGAGGAGAAGGAGGAGGAGGAGGAGAAAGAGGAGGAAGAGAAGGAGGAAGAGGAAAAGGAGGAGGAGGAGGAGGAGGAGGAGGAAGAGGAGGAGGAGGAGGAGGAGGAGGGAAGGAAGGAGGGAGACAGAAGGAAAAGGACTCCTTGAATTTTGTAACATGAACACCTGACTCCTGCCTACTTGAAGTCAGACAAGTGACTCCTGGGTGACCCTGGCACTGTGAAGGCTGTAGGCTGTGGGCTCTCAGGAGTCAGAATTGGTTGTTTACTTGAAGCTAGTGCTAAGCGTTCTTGTCCCCCTCACTATTTGGGCTGCAAGCCCAGATTCATTAAGGGTGGAAGATTCATTGCTGTCTGGTCTGAGGCCAAGTCAGAGCTATTTTTTGGTGCCGAAAATGGAAGTTGAGCTTTTCTCTGTCTGGAAGGTTTTACAAAACACTCCCATTCTGAAGGGAAGAACATAGAGGCTAACTCGGGCATTAGCTTATCTGAGGCCACATGTCTACTGGCTCACCAAAAAGCCAGGACTCTTCTGGCAGTTTGGGCCTTATGACTGCATGTGCTTGTCCTTGTTTGTGGAGACTTGGCCTGCCCAGTGATGCGGGGCCAGCCACCCTGCCCTGCCCTTTCCTCTCCCCCAAGTCTGAGCTCCAATCTCTAACCAGGCTGGGACCATGGAGCTATGCATGCTGGCTGGATTGAGGAAAGTCTCTGAGTCCTGCTGCCCACCAGGGAATGATGGGCACCTCCCTGTGACCTCAGGCCCATGACACCGGTGACCTAGGGAGTGACTTTGGTCCTCAGAGCCAGGGGAGTAGGCATGCAGATGGGGACATTCTGACTCCTGCCTGAGGTCACATGCAGCACAAGAGCTGAGCACCAGCAATTGCCTGAGGTAGACAGGGGCCAGTCCCTAGAGCAAGCAGGGTCACAGCGTCTGCAGGAGCCACTGTGGCCCTGGGCATGGAGTTTCAGGTAGGCTGTGTCAGTGTGATAGCAGCACACGGGTATCCATATCCCTTCTGCCCCTCCCAGAGCTGGGTCCCCAAGGCCTAGCCAGTGTGGGAGGGGCAGGGGAGGAGTCAAATTCCTGGCGGTGGAGTCAGGAGCTCCGAGCCTCTATAAACCAGGGCAGGCAGGAGGAGGATGAACTCTGGGCCACCATGGAGCGCAATTTCACTGGTCCCGATGAGTACCAGAAGCACTTCATGCCCAAGGACTACCTGGCAACCTACTACAGCTTTGAGTGTGGCTCCTCTTCTGAGACAGAGATGGTCAAGTTTAATCTGCAGTGTCTCCACCAGACTTTTGGCCCAGGTAAGCAGTGACGGCCCTTCTCCACCCTCAGCCTCTCTCTGAGGACTCTGTGTGAAGGACAGAAAAAAGATGTCCTGGGCGAACCAGGCCACCTCCAGGGGCTTTGGGGCTTGGGAGGTCAGGTCTGTCTCCTCATTACCTTGGAGCAGTGTGTAATCTGGGGGTCGGGATGTGCAGGGGAAGAGTTACCATCACACAGTTCCAAAAATGCTCTCTAGCCAGGGAGATAGCTCAGTGGCTCAGCCCCTGCCTGGGAAGAGTTTGATTCCCAGAATGAAAAACAACCCTCCCCCAATACAAAACCACCAAAACTGCTCTCCATAAGCCCAGATGCCCAGGCCAATGGGGGTGGCTTTCTGATCTTCAGAAGTAGAGCCTTGTTCTGAGGCAAGAGAAAGACAAGGGCAAGCAGTGGGATTGTGGTGGGTTTAGGATCCCAGCGTATTTGGATTGTACGTCTTGGATGTTGTGATGATGAGGGCCTGAAGAGTGCTGTGTGGGGTGTCAGCCACAACACAAACCTGCTGGCTTGGTCCTCAGCACCAGGGCCCTTGGCCGAGCCATCTCCCGGGAACTGATGATAATCACCTGCCCATGGGGACTGGGGTTGGTGAGTGCACTCTGGGGTGGGCAGCCAGATCTTCACTCAGGGTACTGGGCTGAGGAACAGAGACCTGGAGTAACAGCACTAGGAGGCTGCGAGCCTGGTGAATAAGCAGGACGGGAAGCAGAGCCAGAGAGCCGAGATGGCCCCGAGCCTGGGCTCCGAATGCAGGGCTGGAGGCCAAGCTCCATTCCATCATTCAGTGACCCTTGGCTTATCTCTGCAGTCTTCCCAGGTCCTCTTCCCCCATCCCCCTGCTGGAGTCCATCCAGGTGGGACTTCCAAGGGAGGCGTGGCCCCAAGCACCTGGAACTGAAAGGCCACTGGAGGAAAGGAGGGAGGAGAGAAAGGGAGGGGATGCTCAGAAGGCTGTAGCATGGTCTACTCCAGAACAGGGCCTGAAGCTCCGGCTTTCTGTCCAAGAGGGAGGAGAGCTTACCTGTTGGCTGAGAGACATGCAACCAATTGAACTTTTCCCAAAGTGGGTTTCCTAATCCATAACACGGAAATAGAAAGAAGAGTCACTTTACAGGGTAGTTCTGGGTTGCAAACGGAAATTAATGCAATAGGATACTGGGCAGGGGCTTGGTCTATAGGAAGCTGCCAGGCTTGATGGCCATCATGCTTGTAGCTGTACCTCCTTGAGGGAAGAAAGGGAGCATGTCCTTCTTGCCCCTCAGACTGTCGTGGGTCTCATCTCTCTGGCCTGCTTACACCAGCCTCAATGATCTCTCACTATCACAGGTGGCCTCCGAGGAAAAACACTGATTGATGTCGGCTCAGGCCCTACCATCTACCAAGTGCTGGCTGCCTGTGAGGCCTTCAGCGACATTACTCTTTCCGACTTCACGGACCGAAACAGGGAGGAGCTGCAGAAATGGCTGAGCAAGGATCCTGGGGCCTTTGACTGGACCTTGGTGCTGAAATTTGCCTGTGAGCTGGAAGGAAACAGGTAAGGGACAGGGCTTCGGAGCTCTCTAGGGGCTGGATCTCACCTCTTGCATCAGAGGTCTCTCTTGCCTGGTAATGGTCCCTGACATTTCTGGGACAGCAGGACCCTTAAAGATGCACCAGGTATCTTGAGGTGGGGACACAGTAGACAGACTCCCTTGGGGTTTGCATGGTGCTGGGACATGGCAAAGCAGATATAGCCAGGTGATGGCACCCATCTTCTCTCCTTTTTTCCTTCACTTTCGTACCCTCCCTTCCTTTCCTTTTTGCCCTTCCTTCCTGCATTTCTTCCTACCTTGTTTCCTTTTCCTTCCTTCCTCCCTCTTTTCCTTCCTCCTTATCGTCTCTACCTGTTGTGACAATATGACACCTGTGCCCATCCTCCAGCATGACACCGGGACACAAGAAGACTTACCTGCGCTTCTCCTGTGTTCCCTGCTCCCTGTCTCCCATACTTGATAAAATCACTAACATGAATTACATGTTTCTTATTCCTTTGCTTTCTGAAAATAATCTTTTATTAGCTGTCTATATATGTCTAAACAATACCTTTGAACTTCCTAACACAGTAATTTGCTCTGTCGTCTTCTAGGATTTGCTGTTCATTGATCAACATTATATTTTTAAGATAGTTGTACTCATATATTATCAGTAGAGAATTCTTTCATTCATCTTTCCATCAATGATGTTTGTGGTGCCCTGACCACACCTGGGGTTCCTTCTCCCTCATGGGGAGCAACGGAAGGGGTTTGCATGGAATGAGAGAGAAAGGTTCCTAGAAATGTGGTACACTCTTCCTATTTCCTGCCGGGGAGACTGAGGCCTAGACTGACAGAGGCCTGCTCCCAAGTTCCACAGGGCCTTAGGCAGAAATCCTGTGGGGATGCAGAGGTTCCTCCTCTGCTGGTCACATGCATGGGCCTTCCTTGCAGCCTCCATCCGAGGCTTCTGAACGCTTTGGTCTCCCCACAGCAGCCGCTGGCAGGAGAAGGCTGAGAAGCTCCGGGCCACCGTGAAGAGGGTACTCAAGTGTGATGTGAACATGAGCAACCCACTGGCGCCAGTGGAGCTGCCACCTATGGACTGTGTGCTCACCCTGCTGGCCATGGAGTGCGCCTGCAGCAGCCTGGCCGCCTACCGGGCTGCACTGTGCAACCTTGCCTCTCTGCTCAAGCCGGGTGGGCACCTGGTGACCAGCATCACGCTGCAGCTTTCTCACTACATGGTGGGGAAGCGTGAGTTCTCCTGTGTGTCCTTGACGAAGGAGGAGGTGGAGCAGGCTATCCTGGATGCTGGCTTGGATATCGAGCAGCTTCTGCACAGTGCCCAGAGCTACTCTACCACCACGGCTCCCAACAAGGGAATCTGCTTTATTGTGGCCCGAAAGCGGCTTGGGCCTTAAGCCAAGGGGTCAGCCAGGGGTCCCTGAGCCATGATGGCAGGGGTTAGAAATGGGAGATGTCGAACAACCCCTGCTTTCAACACTCACCTTCTACCCTCTAAAGTCTAGGTTCTAGCACCCTGGTTTAGAGATCTAAGTTTCCAACACAGCTTCTCCTCTACTCCTAGGAATGTCCCGCTTCTAATATCCTGAGCTCTCTGACTCCTGTGCAACTCTAGCGCGCCCAAGACCATTTCAGTTTTCACCCAGGTAGCAAAGACAAGGACAGTGTCCTGTTGACAGCGTTGTGTTGGGGAGTGTTTCAAAACCAGCTCATCAGATTGTCTCCCTGGTGTAAGAATCTGAAAGAGCAGATACAACCTGGAAGCTGTGACAGATACTGTGAAAGGGAAAGAAGCTGCTCAAAGGGAGGAACAACTGGGATGAGGGAGAGGAGGCAAGGAAAGAAAGAAGGAGGGAAAAATATTTATGTATATGCACAGGACGGCTTGGATAATTGTACTGCCGATTTCTACTGCTCTATTGAAAGGAACAGTTAATGCTTAATTTTTTTCTTCTTTTTAATTTTTTTGACCAATTTTGCATGCTCATATCTGGTAATGGAACGACTAATTTGAAGACAACGGTATGTATTATATCAACCATTACTGAAATCCTCTCATTTTGCTTAGTGAAATTCTGCATCATTTTAAACATTTTTTATTGTATCTTTATTCTCTTTAAAAACTTAAAAAAGAAGAAATTATAGTAGGAAGAAAAACCCACCCTATCTCTAATAAGACAAAAACTGATTTTTCAGTGATATCAATTTTTGCAGTGCGAGTGCTCCTGCCCTGGCTGAGCTCAAGCTAACAGTGTTTTAACTTCTGTCTTATAAAACTCTTAACACTTACGGTCAGCTCTCACACACAGGTACAAGTCAGCCTAAACACACCGCAGCCTCCAGATAAGGGCTGGTAGATTTGGTAAATAAAAATACAGGGTGCTCAGCTAATTGACATTTAGATGAATGAAATAACATTTTTGAAGGATAAGAAAGCCTTCCAAATTGTGTGGGATGTACTTCTAACTGTTCTCTGCTGTTCATCTGCAACTCACGGTTACCCAGGGGCCCTCTCTGTCCCCTGGAATACCCACTCTAGCCCTGCGCTTCTGGCCCCAGAGTTAAAAGAGCTCCTGTCCAGGAGTCAGGACTGTGCCTCACCCACACGTGCAAGTTAGAAAAGGCTCTCCTGCTGGGGACACATTGCAGAAAGCTGTCCTTTGGGTAGATGAATTGTCCAAAGGTACCCCATGTCCCTTTCTCTTGCACAGGACGATTGGAGGAAGAAACCCCTTCCCTGAGCTGACTTGATTTCTCCCCTGAGCACCTCTCAACAGTTTCCCCTTGCCCCTCAAGTTGCACCTGTGTGGGGTCCACCCAGCTGAGCTGGACTCAACCACCCTCAGAAGGCTCAGAGGATCAGGATTCTAGTCACAGCCCTGCTTCTTCTCTGGACCTCGTGCTCCCTACCTGAGGGCGGAGGAAGAGGGTCTCATCTAATCATTCACAGGAAAGTTTTAGAAGCAGGAAGCCATAGATGCAAATGTGCTTGGAGAAGTAGAAGATTTTCAGAAACTGACACATTGGTGTTAATTTTGCAGGGGTCAAAACTTCAAGAGCGTCTCAGAATTACCAAGGCTGCTCTATGTTGTTATAGCCCAGGAGGCAAGCCAGGCGACTTCCCTAGAGACAGGGTTGGAGTGAGAAGCCAAGTGCCTCCAGTCCTAGCCCATCCCGTGTGCTAGATGTCCAGGCCTTGGCGGGCAGTGTCCCCCCACCCTTGGCTCTCTTGGCAGGGCTTGGGCCTTGGCCTGCGCCCCGCTGCTTCCTCTCTTCCCAGCTCATGCTTCACTCCTTTCACTACGCAGATCACAGCTGTGCTCTGGTCCCAGCAGACACCTCTGAACTTTTTGGAGAGGAATGGTGTAGGATGGCTTTAAACATGCTATGGCAGAATGGTCAGCAGTCATCCAAAGTGGTGGCAGCGGACATGGTGACCCTGAGAATCTATGTCCAGGAACAGGGGAGAGGAAGGGGCAGAAATGAGGTGTGGTGGGGAATTTTAAGGACGCAGGAAGTTTCTGTGAATGCAGTCATACATGGGCCGGATTCCTCAAGGTTGCAGATGGCGATGCCCAGGGGAGGAGCTATCAAGGAAACAAGTGGAGAGTGTGTCCCTCCTTCCAGGTGATGGGCTTCTGTGCTGTGGAGGGCAAGCTGACCTAAACATGGCCACGAGACACAGAGCAGCAAACAGCACACCTGGCTGCTGTGGCTGCTCGGTGTGCAGAGGTCTGCTGCCTCAGGAGGAGGGAGGAGGGCTTCGAGAAAGCTGCCAGCAGGTTGAACTGGGACAGGCTGGGTGGGGACTGCTGTGGACCTGCCACATATGTACAAGAAGATGACTTGTACTCTGCACGTATTAATAAAGCACACTGATTCACCCTTGGTACTAGCAGAATCTATAAGATGCTGGTGAAACTATGGGATGAGGGTAGGAGTGGAGGTGCCGGAGTCATTAGAGGAGCACATCTTATGGCAGAGTTTGGAGGGAAAGTGGACCCATGTGTCCTGGTTCCTTGTGTATAGTAATTCACTGAGTTGATGTCCTCCTAGGATACTGAGTAGGTTACCTGCTATAGGAATATAATACAAAATTTATCCCTAGTGCTATCACTCTCCCCTCCCCCCATGAAATTGTCTTACAATAGCCAACTACTGGTTCAGTGACTCAGTGCCAACAAAGCTAGTATCTCTGTGATGAATGCGGCCTTTCTGCATGGTCGCAAAAGGGCCCCTCTAGCTCCAGGTGGTGTGCATAGTTTTATGGTAGTGAAATGGAGCAAAGAGATTTCATTCTTGATCTTTAGTCTTATGAGGAAAGCAGTAGCTACTCCAGAAACCTAGTGGTTTGGCCATGTCCCTGCCACCCCCAGGTGCACTTTAGGCTAGGAAAGGAAGTATGTCTTCTGTACCAGGCAGTGCCTAGGGTGAGTGTTGGGACACTGGCACTCCAACTGGCTTCCAAAGCCCTGCCCCTATGACACCACCTGCTGAGGCCCTAGGTACTGCCTGTTGAAGCCCCAGTGGCCTCTGCCTTGCAGTAGCCTTGCTCACTGCCTGCTGCTTGCCTTAGCTGATGTCTCTTGTTCCTGGCAGCTCCAACTTCCTGGTATCTCTCAGAATGTTCGGCCTCATTCTCACCCCTTCACACACTGCCTTTGCAGGGCACATCATCTTGTCTCTCAGACCTTCTTCTGAAATTTTTTTTGGGGGGAAGGCTGCATGACCCTGTATAGCTTTTGCATTCTGTTTTTGCAGAACCGGGGATTGAACTCAGGCCCTTGTACCTGCCAGGCAAGCACTTGTTCTAATGAGCTATCTCCCCGGCCAGCTTTTGCATTCTGCAAGCTTATAAAACTAGCATGTGGATGACACCAAGACCTGGTGCCAGCCCCAGAAGTTGCCAGGTCCACTTGGTTCATGGCCCCACCAGGCTCTTAAGGCCTGGATAGCTGAGCACTGGAACCTGAGTCCTGAAGAACCAATGGCCTGGTGGTTTTCTTAGACCTTCTTGGATAGGGTGTCTCATAACAAAGATGTTTAGTTTCACAGTTCATAGGCTTCAAGTGTGGGGTCTTATTGACCTCTCACAAGCTGTCAAGTCCTATTGTTCTGAGAAGAAGTGCTAGGAGTCTTGTGATGCTAATCTTTTCAATAACCAAGCTCTCTTCTGCTCCAACTTTGCATGTTGTTTCTCATGTGATGCTGCCAAAACCTTTTAAGACGAGATTTTAGCTCATGCTTCTCAGTGTAAATCTCATTAAAAGCTGTGTGATTTCTCTTACACCATGTTAGGGCTGCTTCTATTTCTCTCCTTTTTTTTTTTTTTCAATGCTGGGAATTAAACTGAAGGCCTCAACAAGTGCTAGACAAGAGCTCTACCACTGAGCTGCACCCTCAGGTCCTCAGGGCTGCTTCTTTGCCCAGCATCTCCGAACCTTTCCAAACTCTTCGAGTGAACCATTTTGAAATGTGGAGGACCACCTGAGCAGCTCTCCTTGAAAGAAAAGTGACTGTCTCCATTTTGACTGAGCCTGACCCTATGTCCTCGTATTGTTCTGTACAGAGCTGGCTAGGACTCCTGTTTATCCTTCAATTGGCCTTAAGCAATGTGTATTGGTCTAGCTGAGGTGATGGTGATAGTCTTTGAAGGTGGTGAGCGTGTTTCCCTGGTAACCTACACCTGCTGCTCTTTAATGTGAGCTGGGTCGAGACAGGACGGTAGAGCTAATGCTCCATGGTGCCAGCTGGGATTGAGCCTGAGACAGAGGCCATGACTTCCTGGGGCTTGAAAGGCTACACCAAAGCTGAAGCACCAGACTTACCAAAACATTAGATACTATATAATGTAGATTACTCTCTCTCTGCATATCCTCTCTGCATATCGGCAGAGGTAAATGTAGGCAACCCATCTAGCTCAGCTCACAATGATCCCCTACTTCCCACAATTCTCAGTCAATCCTCCTCAAGCCACTCCCCTACTGAGTAAAAACTGGGTGAGGCCCTAGGTTGCTCTCTTGGTTCCAGAAAGCCATCTTCGTGGCTGGACTTAGAAGCCCTTGACTCCCTGATGATTGAAAATATAACTTAAGTGTTTTTATTTTCGCCGTGGGTTGCATTGTAAGTGGTAGATTGGAATCAACCTGATGGGATTCCAATAACATAACTTTGGGATTATAAATATTGGCTTCTTGGACCGAGACGAGGACCTGGAAGTGTCTCCTACACTGAAAAGCTTCCCAACCACATGTCAGGTAGAGTCACAGCAATCACTCCATCTCTTGGGTACCAAAATCTATACCCAATTACCATCCCACTTCTGGGAAACAATATTTGACACTTCAAAGGGAAGACATTTGTTTGGGCTGCATTTACAGTCCATAGTCCATGGCTGGCGGCTCCAGCACAGACGCAGCCTGGCCAAGGGCTCTGACGGGAGGATCTGTTCACATCAAGGTAGCCAGGAAGCAGACAGAGAAGGGAGGAGTTGCCAGGGAGATCCACCCTTCCAGCTCATTCCCCAATGGCTGGACTCTTGTGATGGCACCCCATCTCCTAACAAGAAGCCACCTATGGCACCCCACAGCCCAACCTTCTTCCAAAAGCCTTGCCACTGAGCACATGAAGCTTATGGGTGATGTCTAACAGTTGGCAGCTGCCAGCCTCAGCCATGTTCTTTCTGTGTTAAGTGTGACTGGCCCTGGCTTTGTTTCTTCTCCTGAAGGCTACTCCTCTAGAGCCCATTACTTCATCCATGCCATTCCCATGCCAATCTTAGAAGAATCATCAGA